GTCCCAGCTGCAGCCCCAGGTGGAAGCTGCAGGGCTGGGGCGCACGGCCCCGGCTGCGGCCCCTGATGGAAACCGCAGGGCTGGGACTGCGACTGCAGGGTACTGGTTCCAGCCAGCCCCAGTTGCAGGGCAGGGGTGCACAGTCCCACCTTCGCCTCCTGAAGCCATAGAAGTCACAGAGGTCCAGTAAAGTCATGGAATCCATGACTGCCGTGACCAAATCGTAGCCTTAATTATGATTCTCTCACTTTGAGCCTGTTCTTCTCTCATTTGTTTGTCGTATCTACCGGGTGACCTTCGTTTTAAATTTTGTAAGCTCTTTTGGGCAGAGACCGTCTTTGTTATATTTTTGTACAGAGCCTACCACAATGGAGTCCATTACCTAGGTGCTATTGCAATCTACGTTATATGAATCCGTTTGTTTATCATTGTTGGTATCATTTTTTGTTTAATTTGTTTCTTCTCCAAGGAAATTGGGATAGCATATTTTATGAGCAGAGATGGAAGAGGGAGCTCTGTACTGTATTGTTCAGCTATTGATTTCATATTAAGAAGGGAACAGTTTTGCAGAACTGGATGGGAGGACATTAGTGATATAAGTATCTGGTTTGAAAAACCTACCTGTAACTCCCTGGAAACACAGAGTCACATCCTGGCAGAATCAGTCTAGTCCTTCATCATTATAAGTTAGGCATAGCAAGTGGTTTACTTTGGATCTGACTCTTAGATGCACTCTTACGCTGAGGCCTTGTTTGCTTATCCAAGTGGCTATTAAAGATTCCAGGAAACTTTTCCTACCAATAGTGGTCTGACCTGGTGTCCTTGGCAAAGTTTACTGTGCCCTCTTTTACTGATCCACAGGATCTGTTCTATGCCCCAACTTTTAAACTGTCCCTTGGAGGAACTCCGTCAGTGTGTCAGACCCCCCAAGGTGTCCCACTCTTCCTTGGGAGTAGGCCATGCAGCCTGGATACCCAGCACATGTTTATTAGGAGAATGGGTTTATTTCATGGGTCTTGCTCTCTAAATGAGTCTGGTACCAAACACATCACCAAGAAATGTTATCTGTTTTTCTGCAGAGGTACTGGCGCAGTTATCAGAGTAGAAAGCAAGCTGAAGACTCCCTAGTTGATCCTCTCCTTTTCAGCAATGCAGCACTCGTTCTTCAGGCCCACTGGCGAGGTTTTGTGGAGAGGCGAAGATTCCTGCAGATGCGGGTTGCAGCCTTCATCATCCAGAACTATTGGCGGGAATGCTCTAGGCATAGGCATGCCGCAGCCATGTGCATACAGGGAGGCTGGCGAGGATACTGCGCAAAGAGACTCTACAGGGCCAAGAGAAATAAAGTCATCCTATTGCAAGCAGCATGCAGAGGATACGTAACACGGCATAGGTAATGTGATCAACCTCGGTGGACACAAAAGTGAAATGTTGAATAAAGATGACTGGGTAGCAGGAAGGCTGTGTGATTCGGAGCAATGATTCCCAGCAATTGGCATGAATACTAGCATTTTTCAGGCTTTTGTTACTAGAACATCATGTTCCCCTTCCCTGGTATGCTTGGGCCCCTGTGCTGCCACTACGTGCCTCCCACTCAGTTGTCCACTCTCTCTGTAACCCACAGTGGAGCTTAGTCTGCTCCAAACACCAGTCTCCTGATCAGCAGAGCGTTCAGTTGAAAGCACACCGCTGAGGCATTACTCTGTGGAAGTGGTATAACTGTCTGAAAGGGTTGGGACCCACTGGTGTACTGTAAACGAGCTGAGAGCCAGAATAATGACTCTAAATACATTGTGCAAGTCACTAGTACCTGATTGTACCTTAATCAGCCCAGCTAGAAAGCTGGTAAAGAACATGACCAAAACACCAGATGCTGCATTTGAACTGTGCTTCCCTGGATATATTAATTTACAAAAGAAAGCAAAAACAAAATACTGATAAAGTTTAGAGCGACCATAGTCAGGAAAGCAGCAGTTCTCACTAATAGACACCAGTGTCATTCACAACTGGGGAAAGAATGAACATGTTATGTAGAATACCCATGTGCAGTCTCACACATGATTTTTAAATGTGTGTTTAGCTAAGGTATTAAAACCAAACACAGGCACTTTCTCTTAAACGTCTCTTCAGAATCAATACAATGCATCCAAGCAATGAAAGTGGAAACACTCTAAAAATCTGCTGTTTTCTCATCCTTGCAGATTTACAGCTTTAAAAGAGCAGAGATTAAAAGACAGACAGCTGGAGAATGGAGTGTCAATCAGAGAAGAGGATGGACTGGAGGCAGATGATACTATGAAAATTAGGGGCTCAGACCCATCTAAGTGGGAGGATGGCTCGTTTGAACAGCGGGTGAGAGCTGTAGAGGAACATAAATCAGTAATAGAGAATAGTCGGGTGAATCATGCTGATCCAGTAGACAGTTCTGGAGACTTACTGTACAAAAGACACGAGAGAGCCAGCAGCCAAAGTGGCATGGACATTGAAGAGGAAGTAGTTGTGAGAGAGAGGCCCAAATCACTGGAGGATCTCAACCAGAAAAAAGTGGTCCGCGCAAAAAGAGAAAGCCGGAGAATGCGTGAATTGGAACAAGCAATATTTAGCTTGGAATTGCTTAAGGTCAGGTCCACTGGAGGGGTGTCTCCCTCAGAGGAGCGTCGGTGGTCCACAGAGCTTGTGTCAGAGGTCCTTCATTCTCCACAGGGAACCCCAGAGAGTGAAAGCTCTCAGGGGAGCTTAGAAGTGTTAAGCTGTGAGGATACTCAGAAGAATAAACTTGATTCTCCAGTTTTAGAAGAGCAAGACATGCAGTCTGTCTCCACTGAGACCCAGGACTCTTTACCTCACAGTCCTAAGTCTGGTTTACAGGACACAACCTTCTTCTCAGCAGATGTGAACAGCAACTTATCTAACAGAAAAAGGACACCATCAAGTTCTGAGTTACCAGAGAGTCCTGCTACTAAGGAGCGGGTGGTCTGTGATACCCAGAATGTTATCTACAAGATGCATCCAAGAGAGACCTTCATTTCTAGCAATCTGCCTACTTTCTACATTCCACCACAGGACACCCAGAAAGCAAATCAGTCACTGGTGGAGAATAACTTGAAGAACAAACTAATGGAAAAGGAAGAAAAACCAGGTACGTTTCCTGAGGTTCAGAAAGATACGGAGCCAGGCAGGCAGGGCCAGGGCAAAGCCTTGGACAAAGAGAGAGGAGAAAACCCTCCTGTCAAGCAAGAGGAAAGCCTACCTGCTCTTGCATCAGATACACATTCTTCAGACTCTGTTATCAGGAGACTTGAGAAGCTGAATGTGGAGAAGGAGGAGCGACAAAAGCAGCTGCAGCAGCAAAATGAGAGGGAGATGATGGAGCAGATCCGCCAGCAGAAGGAAATTCTGGACAAACAACGCAAAGTTTTTGAGCAATTCGAGAGACAAGGGAGGGGAGAGGCCTTGCAAAGGACTGAGCACAGCAGAATCAAGGATCCCTCACAAGGAGTGTCTCTCAGACCCCCAAAGAAAACAGACAACAGGCCTCAATCTCTCCTCATCCTAAATCCCCAGAGCAAAGGGGAAAATTTCCAGACTGTGAATGCAACACCAACCTCATCAGTGGATATTAAAGGGCTCACTGTTGCAAAGAAAGGGAGCCCCCCAGCCCACATAGCACAAAAGGACAGGCCTGTCAGCATGTTCCTGGAGCGAAAAGAAGGTCAACCTGGAATGACACAGGAATCAACCAGAACAGATCGTTGGAATTCAAAACTGGCTGTAGAATCTGGGGACTTCTCTAGCAGCCATGCTGCAAGGACAGAGCGCCTCAGGCAACCCCGAATTCCCAACCAGAGCACTGATGCCTCTTCTAGTGAGCCGCGGGCTAGTGCTATTTTCTTCACACCAAAAGACAGTCATTTTCTGTGAGTGGAGCATTTGTTTGTTTGCTTGCTTTATACCATGAGAGGTGACTATTGCATGACCTTTCCTGAAAATAGGATTGATTTCTACAGGTTTGCAATGAAACAAAGAGCCACATGATCAGTTTTGGGCACCTCATTACCAAAAAGATGCTGATAAAATGGGGAGGATTCAGAGAAAAATATCAGTAATTATTAGGAAGCTGGAGGGATTGACTTAAAAGGAAAATTAACAGAACTCTCATGCAGTGCATACCATACAGTCTGTCAGGTGGCTATGCGTGACTATGGAGAGCCAAGCTAACCATCTACAGCAAACATCTGAAAAGTGTTAATAGCAAGAAAGGAGAGAAATTACAGTAGTTAGGGCAGTACAAAGTGGTGTGAGTAGGAAGGATGGGATGAAAGTAAGAAAGGAGTTTAAGAGAAGTATCAGAAAAAACTTAGTTTTATTATTATCTGGTAGAATAGATTCCCAAGGGAAGTAGTAGAATCTCCAACACTTCACACATTTAAAATTTCAGTGGACAAAATAGTAGTGAATGGTCAACTAGGGAACAATCTTGCACTGTCAGGGAAAAGGGAATAAATGCAGATCTTCTATGCAGTGTGGTTGTAGCCATGGTGGTCCCAGGATATTAGAGAGAGAAGGTGGGTGAGGTAATATCTTTTACTGGACCAACTTCGGTTGGTGAGAGAGACAAGCTTTCCAGCTACACAGAGCTCTTCTTCTTAAGCAATCTGTTCCACCTTGCATTTAGCTATGATGCTGGGAGAACCTTCCCCTGACCTGAAGAAAAGCTCTGTGTGGCTCGAAAGCTTCTCTCTCTCACCAGCAGAAATTGGTCCAGTAAAAAAAAATTTCCTCACCCACCTTGTGTCTCTCTAGAGCAGGTCTTCTCCTTATGGAGACTGGAGGTGCACAAGGTTTTGAAAAAGAGCTGCTGTGAATAAAGTATACATTTAACAGTCTTGGCAGTATTAGAAACAACTGCATAGAATATGGGAAGTTCTTTGCAGGTTAAATGGTGGGTTCATTCCAAGCACAGGTCATGGCAGCATTTCGATCCTGTGCTCATGTTTCCTCCCCCGCAAATCTGCGGGTCAGGCTGATCTGGGATATGTCTACACAGCCGACGTTAAAAGTGGCAGCACTTTAACGTGGCTGTGTAGTCGCGGCTCCAGCAGTGGGAGAGAGCTCTCCCAGCGCTGTAATAAAACTACCTCCGTGAGGGAAATAGCTCCCAGCGCTGTAGCACTGTCTACACTGCCACTTTACAGCACTGAAACTTGCATCGCTCGGGTGGGGAGGTTTCATACCCCTGAGCGAAGAAAGTTTCAGTGCTGTAAGTGGCAGTGTAGACAAGGTCTGAGTGCCTTTAGGGAGCTGTGTCTGCAGGGTAACGGCACCCTTCATCCCTCCCAAAGCAGCCTCCCAAATGTCTTTTATGTTGTTTGCTGCTATTAATTGGTTCATGGTACCACCTACTGTGTGCTAGGCACTTTTCTATTTGCCTTAAGGGAAGGAGGGCAGGGGAGAGGGTTGAATCAGTTTCCTTTGTCCAAGTTCTTTCCTGGCCTGCGCCTCTCCCCCCCCCCACCCATACAAAACAGGAAGTGTCACTATAGGCAGCATGGCAGAATTGGTTTTTTAAGTGGTGTGGCAGATGATATCAGGGACCTTCAATTGTACAGTGTGGCACATGTGAAAGAAGGCACAGAGGTGATTGAGACACAGGCAGACAAAGGTGGGACTTAGTTGCAATGTCTAAACTAGGGCTGTCGATTAATCACAGTTAACTCATGCGATTAATTCAAAAAATTAATTGTGATTAAAAAAATTTGTTGCAATTAATCGCACTGTTAAACTATAGAATACCAATTGAAATTTATTAAATATTTTTGAATGTTTTTCTACATTTTCAAATATATCGATTTAAATTACAACACAGAATACCAAGTGTACAGTACTCATTTTATATTATTTTTGGTTACAAATATTTGCACTGTAAAAATGATAAACAAAAGAAATAGTATTTTTCAATTCACCTCATACAAAGTACTGTAGTGCGATCTCTTTATCGTGAAAGTGCAACATACAAATGTGGATTTTTTTTATCACATAACTGCACTCAAAAACAAAACAATGTAACACTTTAGAGCCTACAAGTCCAATCAGTCCTACTTCTTGTTCAGCCAATCGCTCAGACAAGCAAGTTTGTTTACATTTACGGGAGATGTAAAGCTGCCCACTTCTTAATTACAATGTCACCTGTAAGTGAGAACAGGCATTCATATGGCACTGTTGTAGCTGGCGATGTATTTACGTGCTAGATGTGCTAAAGACTCATATGCCTCTTCATGCTTTGGCCATCATTCCAGAGGGCATGCTGATGATGCTCATTAAAAAAATGTGTTAATTACATTTGTGACTGAACTTCTTGGGGGGAGAATTGTATGTCCCCTGCTCTGTTTTACCTGCATTCTGCCATATATTTCATGTTATAGCAATCTTGGATGATGACCCAGCACATGTTGTTCATTTTAAGAACACTTTCACTGCAAATTTGACAAAATGCAAAGAAGATACCAATGTGAAATTTCTAAAGATAGCTACAGCACTCGACCCAAGATTTAAGAATCTGAATGCCTTCCAAAATCTGAGAGAGATGAGGTGTGGAGCATGCATTCAGAAGTCTTAAAAGAGCGGAAACTACAGAACCCCAACCACCAAAAAAGAAAATCAACCTTCTGCTAGTGGCATCTGACTCAGATGATGAAAATGAACATGCGTCAGTCCGTGCTGCTTTGGATCGTTATTGAGCAGAATCCATCATCAGCATGGATGCATGTCCTCTGGAATGGTGGGTGAAGCATCAAGGGACATATGAATCTTTAGCGCATCTGGCATGTAAATATCTTGCGATGCCGGCTACAACAGTGACATGTGAATGCCTGTTCTCACTTACAGGTGACATTGTAATTAAGAAGTGGACAGCATTATCTCCCATAAATGTAAACAAACTTGTTTGTCTGAGTGATTGGCTGAACAAGAAGTAGGACTGATTGGACTTGTAGGCTCCATTTTACATTGTTTTATTTTTGAATGCAGTTATTCCTTTGTACATAATTCTACATATGTAAGTTCAACTTTCATGATAAAAAGATTGCACTACCGTACTTGTATTAGATGAATTGGAAAATAGTATTTCTTTTGTTTTTTTACAGTACAAATATTTGTTATAAAAATAAATTTAAAGTGAGCACTGTGCACTTTGTATTCTGTTTTGTAATCTAAATAAATATATTTGAAAATGTAGAAAATATCCAAAAATATTTAAATAAATGGTATTCTATTTTTAAGAGCGCGATTAATTTTTTTAATCGCTTGACAACCCTAGTCTAAACTATTACTTTTTATTTATTTCATTTAAATCAGTGCAACAATTAACTTGATGCTGTATAAGATACGAAATGAAGACTATTCTTGCCCTAAAGATCTTGCAGTTTAGTAGACAAAACCCTGTGGGAGGCCAGAAGAAGGAATAACAGAGGAAATAAAATTTCTCCTCCTAGACAGTAGTATGGCAATGAAAATTTTTAATATGATTTTCTGTCTCTTGTTACTTAACTTTTTTTCCATTCTGCAATTTTACTTCCCAACACAAAGCACTAAAGATAACCTGTATGAGAGCTACTAGCAAGTGTGCAGTAAGGATGATGGTTCATAGCTTGACGAAGGACAGGAGTTCTGTTCATTCGTGCTTTTTATCCTCACTACAGTGTTTAATTGTATTAAGTGTATGCTGAATAACTAAAGATGGCATCCCTTAAAACACATGAAATCAAATTGCAATTTATTCTTGATCCGTTGAGTTGTACATACTCAAATGTTTCTAGAATCTGGACTGATGTTATGGGTGAACCTGGGCGAGGAATTTAAATGTCTTTTTGTTGTTGTTGTTGTTGAGTTTCAACAAGGAATCTTCAAATCATCAGATCCTTTCGAAAGATGAACCACCTAGAAAGCCACTAAAGTTCCCTGGGCCAGGCAGAGGGGGGGTAAGTTACAGCTTTCTTATTTTATCTTTCAATTAAACAAAACTTATTCTGCCAGTTTCCTCTCAAGTGTTTGAAGAGAAAACAGAAGGGTGGGTGCTGTTCAATTACGAGTCTGTGAGAAGGAAGGGGAGATACTAATGGTATGGAAACATTAAAACCTTCTCTTCAGGATACCCTAATTAACACAAGAACATACTAGTGCAGAATTGCAAGATGTTTTCTGCCATGAATGCCCCAGTGGTAAACACTGTAGAATGCAGTCATGTCTTGTTTTGTTTAACATATGTTTTGGTAACATCCATGACTGTCCATTTTCCCAGTGCTGTCTTTCATTTTTGTTTTCCCCAATCCCCTGCACTAGCTATGATACTTGTGTGTTATGTGTGGATTAGCATATTGTTCATGGAGTTCTTAAGGCTGTACTTGACCTACCCTGTGATATCAAACATCAGCAGAATCGCCTTTTCTTTTAAAACATTTTTATGTTATCTGTTTTATCATTTGGTCAAGCAGGTTGCCAGACCGGCCCATAAAAAGAAAGCCCGCATGGCGCGGACGCGCTCCGATTTCTTGACTAGAGGTACTTTTGCTGATGGGGAGGGGGATACGGAGGAAGATGATTACGATGACAATTTTGAGTTCCTTCTCTCCCCTGACCAACCTCCTCACCTTGAGCCAGGGCCTACAGCCAGGCTTGGGCAGGCCTGTCACAGTGACTCCGAAATGGTAATTTTCCGACATGCGGGAAAACAAAGGGAGCAAGCAGCTGTGCGGGAGCATTTCTTTGCTAACCCTTAGCTGTACTGACACCCTACACTGCTTCTTTTCCCACTGATAATGATGCTGTAGATGGGTAAACTCAGAGAACACAGCAGAAGCAACCTCAACAAATGAGTGGGGGGAAGGCGGCACTTGTGTTTATATCAAACCTTGGCATTGCCTTCACGATGGATTTGACAAATAAGACACCTAATGAAAGTAGTGCTTCTCCAGAGAGCTACAGCATATACCTAGTACAAATGCTAAGGATCGCCCTGCCAGCAATCATGAAAAAGACTAGGGAATAGGGAGGTCTTGCAGGACTTATGTAGTTTCTCTGTAGACTTACAAAGACTGTTTAATACATTCTACTAGTTTATAACAATAGCCACAGCCTGCCTAATCTCCCTCTCCTTTGACAAGATTCATTGTACAGGTGATCGGAAAAGATCTAACCAAACAAATTGTCCCACATACATACAATCAGTTCTTTGATTAAACAACAAAAACTCTATCTGTATCTTACATTTTTCCTATTAGTTTTGATTGTTTACCTTTCATTACACTTTCTGGCCATTTATTTCCCTTTTAAAATAATGCTTCACTTATTATTTGAGGTCTGTAACTTCAAAGAAATTAGTTTCTGGCATCAATTTTTTTCCAAGATAAAAGAAAATGGGAGCGAGACCACATGTGAAAATGCAGATATCCGCACAGGAAATGTCTCGTTTCCTACCCACTCATTCAGATGGTTTAGACCATCTCTGTCTTACACATACACACAAAATATTTTAATTAATGCTAAAGTTGTGGCAGAAAACTGACCAAAACTGTGAAGTCCATAGTTCAGGTAGGCATTTCATTCTGGAGCCGTGTTGCTCTGGCTAGGGATTGGAGAGCATATGGCATGTTACCCCACAGGTGATGTGAACTTCCTGCCACACTCACTATACATACAGCAGAATCAGCTTTATCACCATAACATGCCTTTACTGGGGGGAATTGCTACAGGACTACCTGAAATGAGGTGGCACTTTTTGTTAAACTCCTTTTTTGTTTTTAACAATAGCTGTAAAAAAAAAAAAATCCTTAGGGTGAATATTCTTTGCGGAGGGGAGGAGACGAGAGTGGATTGTTGATCCAGTTGACTCTTTAGGTTTCTCTTGTTACATAAGAATGGCCATAGTGGGTCAGACCAAAGGTCCATCTAGCCCAGTATCCTGTCAGGACAGTGGCCAATGTCAGGTGCCCTAGAGGGAATGAACAGAACAGGTAATCATCAATTGATCCATCCCCTGTCACCCATTGCCAGCTTCTGGCAAACAGAGGGTACAGACACCATCCCTCCCATCCTGGCTAATAGCCATTGATGGACCTATCCTCCATGAATATATCTAGTTCTTTTTTGAACCCTGTTCTAGTTTTGGTCCTCACAACATCCTCTGGCAAGGAGTTCCAAAGGTTGACTACATTGTGTGAAGAAATACTTCCTTTTGTTTGTTTTAAATCCTTCTTGGTTTTCGAGTTAGGTATACCGCCATTACTGTCTGTCAGAAACACTATTACAGTCTCTCAGTAACATTGCTTCACAGGCCCAGTGCTGCTCTTTTGATGAAAGTCATGGGTGGTTGATTTGCAGTTCCTCTCTATTTCCCGCTTTAATCACAGTAAAGGAAGCTGGGAAATTATATTCAAGTAATTTTATAAATGGCCAAACTGATTTTTTTCTTAAGAAATTGGATCAAAAAAGCAAACTCTGTCTCTCAGATCTTGAGAGTTACATTTCACCTATAGTTGAACTTCTGCAGTTTGCAGTGTAAACACCCAAACCGTTGAAATTCTCACTGCCTCTGTTATGGCAGAATAAAAGCCACTATTCTAAAATAAAAGGTGGGGGGTGAGGGGAGAAGTAATATTTGCATGCATGGACTTTAAAAACATCTGTGAATGTTTGGAGGAAAGTTCCCACTGGAGAAGGTCACTCATATTGGGCCTGTTTGACTGAAAATAATAAGTGCTGCTGAAGACCAGACTAGTATGGTAAAGGATTGAGTACAATGACCAAAGCAACTGACATTGAATAGGCTCTTTGGAAACTAAATTCGGGAAACTCCAAAATATTTGGTGTCTTGCTGCAGTTCTGTTGGCTCCTGTGCTCTTTAGATTATTTACAGACCAAACATCTAAAAAGAGATTTTTAAAAGCTATTTTAGATAAACTGATTAAAAGGAGTCTGCACTGTGTAGGTAAGCAGTGCCATAAGCTAAGTGCATGCTGTGTTCCTGGAGGTTTACCCTGTTACAAAGCATTAGTTCTTTTAGCAGTAGAAATCTTTCACACTGGAAAACTCTGCTGAGATGCAAACAGGTGCTGGGCTCACGGTTAGGATGGAGGACGCTATCCTTGGAAGGGTTTTAGTTCATGCCTCTGATTGGAAATGGTCCTATGATTCTGCTCACTGGGTTTAACAACGGTCATTGCATGCAAGTAGTTCTAGGCCGGTCTCATCAGTGCACACTATGTATCATCTCTCCTTCTGTATCACTTACCCTCTGTAATACTCCATCACTATCTCTAACTGGTGGTTGGGCGCGCAAAGTGGTATCATCTGGGAGCAGTCACTTGCACGGCCAGGCTCTGCTTTCTAGCATATGCTGGATAGATACATTGTTGCATAAAAATACTGTATATCTGTGTGTCTTGTAAATACATGCAGCATTTCCATCTGTCTTCTATATTGCAGGACTAGGTTTGAGACCAGCTCTTTGGAAGCGACAGCTTTTGGCTTCTGTATTTCAGAACCGCCTTGCCTTTGTCTCAGTGCTATTTTAGAACAGCAAAATTTATGGACTGTTCAAGTGATGCAGTTTCCAGAAGCTTATTAGCATTTAGATGTTAATAGCTTAGCCCTTGCAGTGCCTGAGAGGCTGTTACATGTGATAAAGCAACTTAACAATACAGCAGTACGGATGTGAGTTGGTTTCAGTACAAACCGGAGAGTACTTGAATGTGGGTGTGTATTTGTTGTTTGCCTTAAGATTTCAATACAATAGGAAGGACAGCCAAGCAATCTTCCTTTGGATGGTGGTGATTATTTTAATGAGAAAAACAAATTAGTTTATCACACATGCACAACAGCTGCTAATTATCAAAAGTCAGTTTTTAGTTAATGTTTTTGGTGTGCTGTTCATAAGCCAATGGTTGCTGAATACATGAAAGAAATACAGAGTGTGACACTGAAAACTAAAGCACTTTTTGATTCAGCTGCTGCTGTTATTACTAGCCTGCCTGTTTGAAGTCCTAGTACAGTAAAACCTGCTGATGTCCTGTGTGCAAAATCGATTTATTTGTGTAGCCTGCTGGTAGGTAAAGGTGCATTAGATGGTGTTGCTCGCTGGCACTGTGCTATGCACATATCTGCAAAGAGAGAGAGTCTTCAACCAGAGGTGAAGTTGAAGGTGCAAATGTTGAATCTGATTGCTTAAGACAAAGTAGACTTTGGTGACAATAGTGTGATTGACAATGAGGCCATCTTTTCAAAGGCTGCTTGGATTTTCTAGTCAGCAAAATTCTAGTTATCAAACAGTATGACAAGTACAAATGTCATGTACAGCTTATCTTAAAGGATTAATAGAGCTTGTTTTTACTTTTAAACAGCGAGCTTGCAATCTCTTGTATCATGTATGTAAGCGAGCTTGGCTAGAGAATCAGTTAAAGCCTCATTTGAGATGTTGTATGAAGCATTTATCATTTTGCAATGATTTGTTTAGATAATTTGTGAGGGGAGAGGGTGAAAATCTTTAAATGCCATTTATGGAAGTGAAACCCTTTTTCCCCAAGGCGTTTGAGGAGGCATTGAAAATGAGACAATAATGAGGATACTCTCACTACACCTTTCTTAATAAAGCAGTGACGTGAGTTTTGAATTAAAAAAATACAAGTTCTGAGTAACTCCAAAATTTGTCACCCATTGTCCAACTCATAAAACAGACAATCCATGGACTTGAGGGTTATTACTTCAACAAAGATCCATGAAATAAGAACCCTTGTCATAAGCTATCACTAATCAGTGGGAAATGCATCTTATGAAAACTCTTCAATCCAGCATGATGGAACAAAGCATCATCTCCATCTGTCACAGTCACATATATTTAAATGTGCAGCGTGCACACACTAAATCTAAACTCAGCCCATATTATTCCAGAGGAAATTAATTCCCTCCTGTACCCTGCCAGACCCATTAAAGTCCACCCCCTGCAGCCTGCACAAATAGATGCACCTTGCAGTGTGCTCTAACGGTCAACAAACCAACCCTATTCTAAATCCGTGGATAACGCTTGTTCCAGACCTGAGCCCCCTAACAGAGAACACTTTGCTGCTAGATCCCTCTCTTTTTAAGGGCAATCCAGCTTGAATGTCTCTGTCAATTGCAACTATGGCAGCCTGGCAGGGGAAGAGACACTCTATCAGCTCGGACAGTTCCAAGCTATTCAGGGCATTATGAGGTAAAACCAACACCTTGCATTCAAAAATATAGTCAGTTGTTAAAATAGTTTTTTAAATTTTTAATAGAAAACAATCCCAAAGCTATGGAAGAGCTGAAGAGGAGGATAGTAGGATAGTGATTGCAATCTCAGTGGTGCTAAGAAAAAAGAATTTAAACCATATCTAATAGTTTAATGATGATCTCATATACCCCTTATATCTGTTTCACTATGCAATGTGCATCAACAGACCTTTCCTCTTTACACTTTACACTGTATATCCACACACAAGAAAGATGGCTGTTTTCAGTCCCCACATTGTTAATATCCAACAAGCAAGATGCCAATGATCTCCCTGCTGCATTTTGTCATCATACAAAAAGCCCCTTCAGTAGAGCTGATTATTTCCCTATCTATAATACTTGTTGATGTTGCTCACATAAACAACTACACTATGAAAGTGTTTACAAACAAGGTATCTGAATTCTTTTTATATTGCTGGAAGTTTTATGCTGTGTAATCATGATGACCACTAGAATAAGCACTTTGTTCTTGCATATCCCAACTATTTATTACCAAGAAAATTACATCAGCTTTGGTCATCGCATCTGCACCACGTTCTTTCTATGAAAAATCTGATTTCATGTCATGCTCTTGATGTAAAAAGCATACACAGATCCTTTCATCAGACTTGTCTTAAAAAAAAAAACACTACCAGCACCATTGTATGTAAAGCCTCTGTGGGTATGTCTGCACAGCAAAGAAAAGCCCAAGGCTGGCCCATGCCAGCCAACTCGGGCTTGGGCTGTGGGGCTGTTTCACTGCTGTGTAGAATTCCGAGCTTGGGCTGGAGCCCAGGCTCTAAGACCCTGCGAGGTGGAAGGGTCCCAGAATTCAGGCTCCAGCCCAAGCTTGGGCTGCAGCCCCAGCCTGGAAGTCTACACAACAATGAAACAGCCCCGTGAGCCTGAGTCGGCTGGCATGGGCTAGCCGCGGGTTTTTCTTTGCTGTGCAGACATACCCTGTGTGCACACAAGCTTTTGGTTGCTTTGATTTGCAAGATCAGATGTGAGGACGGCTGCTATACACTAGCTGTGAGCTGGAAGAACATTGTGGTATTGGCCTACGGACCAGCACAACAAACCTTCCACCCTACTTTTGGAATTCCCACAGCCATTGCTGCCAGAACCAACATGGAGCTTGTTTTAAGCTGAAGCAGAGCATATCTAGGCCAAGAGGACAGCAAACATGAAGATATTTCTTTCCCCTTTACTGCTTACAGTAGTAACCAAGCTTAATGTGTCCAATCCTGCGCACTCAGACCACATGAACCATGGCTTTCATTTGCAAAGTGCAGTTCCAGAAAGATCCCAAAACACAGAAGTGCATTTTTGAGAAATTCCCCTATAACGTCTTATTTTTACACATATCAGAGCTAAGAAGTTTCTGTGGATAAGGATAAGTGATCACAAAATAGGGTTGAATCCACTTAGTCAAACTGCCATCATTGAGACAAATATTTTAACAGGCTTATTTTTAAACTGAGAGGTTTGTACAAACTGTACCTACTTTCATGAGCATCTGAGGTATCAGTTATTGAAATAGGTATTTCATTGTATCCATATATCTACGTGAACAGCTACTGTCATTTCAATATGATAGATTTTTTTTCTAGTTTCTTGAGGGTGTTTAAAATATATCTTTAACGCAACATAAATAGACTAATCAAAATACTGGAAGGAGATTGGGATCTTATTCTGAGCCTCAGTGACCTTTGCTGGAGAAAATCCACAAGCTTCAATTATTATGCAGCTTCTTATTTCAGTGTTGGTAGTGCTCTGCATATGCTGCCATCTGCTGGTTGAAAGGGATAAAACACTTTAAATGTCTGGAAAACAATATACGTAAAAGAAATAAAATAGGCTCTTAGTAACAGTTTTTTCATTACATGGTGAATGTTGTTCTCCTGGAATCCATATTTTATGTAATTTTGGTTAAAACCTTTTTTAAATATAGATTACTCATGGGTACAATAGAAAAAATGGTTATATTGAAAGAAATGCATTAAACATAAGAGAGCATGTCCAGCTGATCATAGTGTTTTCATTTTAAAAAAACAGTTGTATAGACCAGAAAGAGATCACACTCCTTGAAATGCATTAGAATGCCTCATAACACTCATCTGGCTGGAAAAGGTGACACTCCTGTAACGGTTCTGTGAGCATGAACCATCAATGTCTTTTTGATTGTAACATACAATCTGGTTTTACAAAGTCTGACTTTCAGCTCCCGTGGTGTTTGTGCCAAATGTGATGTTTTCAGTAAGATGGTCACAACCAGGAGTCAGGTTCAGAAACCCCAATTTTAGCTGAAAATAGTTGCATAATGACCTGACATTTTTAACGTCAAGAAATGTTTCTCACCCTGTGATCTTTCAGGCTGCTCTGCTGAGAGAAATGGCTGCAGTTTTCAGTAGTCGCATTGATGGAGTCACCAAATCTCATCAGTATTTGCAGAAGCTGGATGATTAAACAGACCCTCTTCAGCTAATCCTCTTGTTTAATATGGCCAAATCTCTTCTCCTTGCTGCTTCAGGAATATCGTGCATGTATAGCTTTGCATGCCAAATGAAAAAGGATCTACTCAAAGTCACAACTTTCACCTGGCTTTTTTCTTTTAGAAGAGAAGAAACAAACAAACAAAAAATACTACCCACTAATCAAACCATTTCCTCCTATAGGCGTGGCAGGGAAAAAAGATTTATTATTTATTTCTAATTTTTAATTATTTGTTCTTGGACACTACAGTGATGGGGCTATGAAAGTACATAGATTAGAACTAAATTACCAACCTCAACTGGCTGCCTCAAGACATGATATTGGACAACTTTTTAGAACCATAACCATTGCTCTTTCAAACCAAATTTGACATAACTTTGTGAAAACTGCCTCTCTATTATAACATGCTAGGGAGATTAAGAAAATACCATCTCTGTAATATTGTAATATTGAGAAATAATCAAAATAAGGCAATACTTAAAATCAAATAGACTTAACCCAAAAAAGCATATATTTTCAAAGCTTTGCATACAGTATTGTTCATGGAACTCTTATTGAATTTAATGAGCTATGCGATTTAAATCCATTCACACTTCAAAATGTACCCACAGCAATATAAGCTGTTGAAAAAACTATGAATCGTGCTGTTAGTGATTGAACATAGCATATGTAATTTCTTTATATTACCTCCTCCTAAATGGTGTGTCTTCATTTTAGCAGGTCAGTGCACTAGCACTTTGGACAAATCAATATTTTTTTTAGTCTTCTACAGAGTTGAATACACACCAAAACTTGAATACTGAGGAGGATGTATTAATATCTTATAGGGTACCCTGATATGTTGGCGCTATTGACAATTTCATTGTTAGCTGGGAGTATCTGTTGGAAATTCTGTTGTAGACATCCCTCTTCTAAAATGAAGAGTTGGATTGATCAGTCAATTGAGTGTTCCAACTGGCTGAACATTCTTGGTTGCTTTGTAATGTGGACAACATGTGGGTTTGTGTGAAGCAGTTTAAAATATCCATTGCTAAATCTAATTTAAGGGATGCTCCTTTGGGAAGGAGTTGTTTTGTTAATTCTATGTGAAAATATGTAGTTAAATATGTGCTGAAGCCAGTATGTATGTTTTGCTGTACTTGAAATGTTCTGCTCTTCTGGGAGGCATTAAGGTTTCTTGTTGCCTGTAAGTGAATCATCAATAGGTTGGACCAGGCCTATCCATTTAGGTTTCACCCAATTGTTAATTTTTTGACAACCAAACAGAAATCAGACATGTTTTAATGATAGTATATAACATTTTCAATTTTTTGTGTGTAGCAGATGAAATCTCAGATTGTTCTAGGAGGTCTGTGTCACCTGCAATGCTAACCAGTCTCTTGATTTTAAAGTATTTTTATACTTGTAATTGTTGCAGACATTGCAGCGTTTCACATCAGGTGAAGGCCAAGCAAAGCTTCATAAAACAATGTCTCAGGGTGAGATTGGGAAGCTGGCAACTGTTCAGAAGAATCTGCCTACCGATGGAAGGTATGAAATATATACCTGATGGGGGAAGAGCTGAAATGATGGGAGAGAATGAGTCCAACCCATGTCATATTTGATTCCCTTCAGACATTAGGGCAACTGGCTCAGTCACTGGATTTTCATTCTGTCTTTTCAAGAATTCCTTTGAAGGTTAAACCTAAGGATTGAGATTTTTGTTAGATTAAAAAGTTTTATTTCATATTACAAAAGAATGGGATAATACAACCAAGAACCCTTATGTAGCAAGATATATGGGCCTTAATTTTCAAAAATGGGTACCAAATTTTCTGTGCAAAACCATCCAGTTGTCAATGTAACTTGTTCATGCCACTTAAGTGTGTGTTTTTGAAAATCTGGCCCTTAAAACTAACTACAAGAATCAGAACAAATCACAGGCCTGGGTAGAAATAGAACACTGTGTGAGAATCACTGTGTTGTGTCAATCAAGGAGACAGGGAAGAATGCGCAATGAAATTGAATAAACATTACAGTGTAAGACCCACATCTCACTAAAGTACAATTTAATCACTCTGTACAGATTCTTTCCAAACTCCCTTTAACACAGAATGAAAATACATATTTAATGTCAATTCAGTATCCAATATTAAGTTAAGTAATGTAGACTTATCTAAGGATAAATTATCATTGAGAAACAGTGGCAGATAGAATTCTGAAGTGTATTTCAGTTCTAACTGTAGTGTTGAAATCCAAGACATGCAGTTCCAGAGTCAGTTACAGACTGGATTACAGAGTCATTCTGAGTGGGCCGTATGTTAACTTTATCCTTTTCCCCATTGGAGAAAGCCCAAACTAGACACCTGCTAGGATGAATACCTAGTGCTTTTCTTTTTTCCCTAGATTTCCCAACAGTGAAATAGATCCATGTTCCAAAATGCAGTTGTACAGGTTTTGTTGGTGTTAGAAGGGAGGAAGGTTCATGGGAATCAGTTAGATTTGGAAAAAAATGGAAATCATCTGAATTAAAGCAATTTCTCTTTTCTCACCTATTTACAGGCCTCAGAGAGCCAAGATGAGATTCTGGGTGAAAGGAAAACAAGGAGACAAGAAAACATCCAGAGAGAAGCTTACGACCCAGTCTGAGCTGCTTGAGCTGTATACAGAGCAAGAGGAACCAAACATAGAGGTGACTCCTGGCCTCCAGCTTGGTGAAGGTAAATGTGGGGGGAGAGATATGTGGCAGTTTTGCCAAGCTATTTTCAGGTATTTTGAGGGGTCTGCAAAGTTGTACTCAATGTAGCCTCTTGGAGATACAGACCATAACCATTTTGAAACTGAGCAGTAAGAGTTAAACAATGATGTAGTGATATGAAGTTCATTTAATTGGTGTAAAATACATCTAGAGACTCTTATAATCAAGCAGAGATTTTACAGCTTCCATGTTGACGTTTGTAGCAGGGTTGGACAAGCTCTCCTTTTCAAGAAAAACTTCAAAATGTATAATTAAATTCTTGATAGTGAATGAATGAGGCTATATATTAGAGTGATGGAATGAGAGTGGATGCTAGTTTTCACTGCAGAATTAGAGAATTTTCCTGAGTAGGTCAGGTGAGCGCATAGGGTGCAGGGTTGAAGACAGGAAACACATTGATTACTTCAAAAAAAATTAGGCTAAATAGTCAAAACAATGTCATAATCCCAAACAAGAAACTTTGGTTTATAAATACGTGTATCAATAATTTAAGGGAAGAAAACTATAAATGTGGTATTGTTGTTTTAAAATAAATTCAAGCATCTGAAAGGAAATAAATTCCGCTCTACCTAACTTTGGACCTGTGGCTTTAGAAAGGTCACACACATCAAATTTTATGTCTGGCTCCCCACTAAGCCTTCCATTCTAACTGAGCCTAAAAGCTGCATTACTGCTCTGAGTACTTTCTCTCTCATTTTCTTATTTAATGTGCTGGGATCCCTGCAGAAAATGCTTCTGAAAAATATTTTCTCTTCTCTTAAGAATCTCCCACCTCCTTCTGGACTCTGTGGGAGGCAGCAGAATTAGTATACAGAGATGGCTATTTGTTCTCCCTTGTGTAGGGCTGCTGTCTTCTCCATAAGTTGCAGGAAATGCCTGTCTAATAATATTTGGCACGTTCCATTTTGAAAGTGTTGTACAACCACTAAATAACTAACAGTCTTATTGCACCACTTTGAGGTAGGCAGGCGTTCTCCTCCTTGGACAGAGGAGGAAACAGGCAGAGGGGCTAGGTTGATTCCACTCTGATAAGTGATGTACAAATACGACACTTTCCTACTCTACTCCCTGTGAATATTCAGAGTAATATCTGCTAACTTTAATGACTTTTCTTTTCTTCCTTGTTACCCTATCATGACCATTAGTACAGCTTGGAGAGAGTGAGCTCGTTCTCTTCTGGTTTGCACTTTATCAGCAGAATTGTTCTCTAAGTTCCCCGTCACAGAATTGGTGGCGGTGGTGAAAGAGAGACTCCAGCTTGATTTTCAGGTCCTGGGTGGAACTTGCAGTACTGGCATTTGGGAAAATCATCGTTATTATTTGTGCACTGAGCACATTTGAGTAGAAGTTTCTGAGATTAAATATTGCAGCATTTTAAGCTTTAATAATGAAAAGTGATAAGAAATTAACAACACAATGGCGCTTCTGGGCACTCAAAAAAAATCATAATCTGCATTTCTCTTTCCTAACTTTTAATTGTAGAGTTGTGTCCACATCACCTGACACCCCCAAGGAGTCCAGAGCTGTCAGGCATCTACAGAAGGGAATTTAAAGAGAACAAGGAGCCATCTCCCAAAGTGAAGCGTAAGCGCAGCGTGAAGATCAGCAGCTTGGCACTGGAGCCTGTACAGTGGCAGAATGACTCTCTGCAGATCATAACCAGTGCTGGTGACTTGAAAAGCATGGATGAGTTTCTCCTGAAAAAGGTACGCTCGGCCATTTTCACTTCAGCATAACTACAATAGAGAACAAAAGACAGATAAAATGCTGCTGTCTTGTACATTACATAATCAGGGTCACCTCTTAAAAGAGCAGCAGTGGCAACATTTATACCACAACTGAGATGACAGTTTTAGATCAAAAGCTGCAATCTTGACTACAGCCATTCTAAATAATTTTCCAGAGTTACCCATATTATTGTAAAAGCAGCAAAGAGTCCCGTGACACCTTATAGACTAACAGACGTATTGGAGCATGAGCTTTTGTGGGTGAAGACCCACATCTGTTAGTCTATAAGGTGCCACAGGACTCTTTGCTGCTTTTACAGATCCAGACTAACACGGCTATCTCTCTGATCCATGTTATTGTGTTATTCACAGTCAGTATGGTGGGCAGGGTTTACTTAATCAATACATTTTTTTAATACTGGGAGAGAGAGAAAACACTCCTCTTTGGTCTCCAAAGAAAAACAACTGATCAGCCAATTGGCTATTTTAGTTCCGCACCATCAGAACAAAATGAAAGGTCTTCAGGAAGTCATTGGACTGACTGGCTAACTGGTTGGCAAGGAAATAATGTCTAAATGCAAAAATCAAAGTGTATTCTCATAACCTATCAATATCGAATGATGTAATCTGCTTATAAGAGGGCAGTTTCTCCTTAATAAGTGGTGCTGGTGCATAAAATAGAATATTGTAATTCTTTCTATGGTTCCCAGATGAATGATCTGGATAATGAAGACAGTAAGAAGGACACACTTGTGGATGTGGTGTTTAAGAAAGCACTAAAAGAATTCCGGCAAAACATCTTCAGCTTTTACTCATCAGCTTTGGCGGTAAGTAAAGGTGCTGTCATGTCAAGTACCAGTTTAGAAGAGTAGCACATAGAAAACTTTACACCAAGGAAGAATGAAGGAAAGGTGCCCTAGTTTCCCACAACAAAACCAAACTACAGCATCTTAAATGCACCTTAACATAGTGGAGGAGACTCAAAGGAGGGCAGAAACTTTATGGATTTAAAAAGTTCATTCAGTGAAATACATATGCTCCTCTCGCCGTAAGCTGTGTGCTGTGTCTGGGTGCCTTGAAAGTGAGATGCTTGTACAATCTGCTCAAATGCTGTTGGTTCTGTAAAATTGTAAATCTGGTGTAATGACTCCTTTTTATAAAATGGAGATATCCTATCTCAGAGAACTGGAAGGGACCTTGAAAGGTCATTAAGTCCAGCCCCCTGCCTTCACTAGCAGGACCAAGTACTGATTTTGCCCCAGATCCCTAAGTGGCCCCCTCAAGGATTGAACTCACAACCCTGGGTTTAGCAGGCCAATGCTCAAACCACTGAGCTATTCCTCCCTGATATAAACCCTACCTTCAGCAGCATGTAACCCCTATCACAGTAGTGCAGGTAGTATTCTAACCTACAGTGGGTCTTGTACTGCTCCAAACCTCAATCATATGCTGCTGAGAAGCAAAAGCTACATTGTAGGTTAGAATGTGCGCAATTAAATGGGAAGTAGTAAACTGTTACAGCTACCAAAGTGCTGGAAACATTTATGTTAAAATTCCAATTATAGAACTTCTACAAACTTGGAAGTCTTTGACCTTTGAGTGTCTGTATAGATCTGCATTGTACATTACAAGATAAGGCTTGTTACTTCCCAAAACTAACAAAAATTCTCTAGCACTTTCATGCGATTCAGCACTTCATGTAGCTGGTAGCCTGCTCAGTTGATCTCTTTTGCTGTTCAATCCACCAGCAAGCCACTGTACTGTACAGTGTGTTCTATGAAATAACAATGGACAAACTAGCTTTTTCATCACACTCTTGTACTTACCCACATTAAAGGCCCAAGAGTGCCAGTCAGGGCTGGAACAACTCTCTGAAGATATGGAAATCTGTCCTATTAAAGTCCTTTTTCTGATCCTTTTGTTTCTTTATAAGATGGATGATGGGAAGAGCATCCGGTATAAAGACCTGTATGCCCTGTTTGAGCAGATTCTGGAGAAAACCATGAGGCAAGAGCAGAGGGATTGGAGTGAATCGCCCGTCAAAGTTTGGGTCAACACCTTTAAAGTATTCCTTGATGAGTATATGACAGAATACAAACCTCTGGATTACACTGCTGCAAAGGTATGGAGGGAACCAGTCTGCCTCCTTCTCTTTGCTTATTGAAATGGTGCTATGCCGCTTCACACACCGTATCTCTGGGATGATACTGTAGACTGTCAAAGTGGGCAGCCACATTGCTGCGAAGCCTTGGGTATGAGGCAGGCTGTAGGCCTCCAGTAAAAATAAGTGTAATGCTTTGCACCTTCGGTTGTTCAGCTGGCAACCTCTGAAAAATGGGACAATTATTCTGCTCATCTGGAAGTGTGGGGGTAGTAGAGGGTCATGTGCACTTTCTGGTGGATTTGAGATTATTTTCATCATCTAAGGGTGAGAAAAGGCAGAGGAACATAGTATAGAGTTTACCAGACCTCACCAAGAGCCTTCCAGTGCCTCCCACTTCTGGGAGCAATCATGCCTTAAAAATAAAGGTGTTCCTTCATTCTGCCTTTCTGCCCCTCCCCCAGTGACCACCTGCCCAACTCCCTCTCAGCTTCGGCTGCCACTGAAGAGCCTCTGCAGAGGATGGTATGGGGAGGTGAGGGTCTCCAGGTTGCAGATCAGTGCAGCAACCAGCTGATGGTCACAGAGCAACCAGAATCTACCACAGTGCACACCCTGCTCTCACATCCACGCTGCCATTCATACACACAGGTTCCTCGCTCCCTGCTCTTTCCACCCTGCAATTAAAACCACTAATGGCTCTTAGGCCAGGCTGGTGGGGGTCACCAGTTGTTGTTCTGGAAAGGAGAACCAACCCCTCTCCTCTGGCTCCCATGCTGCAGCTCATCTACCGTCCTCAGGACAAGTTTCTTGTGGGCCACAGTCCTTGGACAGGATGTGAGCTCTGTGGGACAGTTTTTCAAAGCCCGGAGCTCTCAGCTGAAGCAGGGCAGTTATGCAGTTAGGGTTGAATTTTCAAAATCACTCAACTGACTTTTGAAAATGGGATTTTGGCTCCTAAGTCACTGACACGCTTTTGAAATATTTCCCATAATGCCTGTGTCTGCAAGTCACAGTGTGCATTGGCAGAACTGTGTGAGTGACTGAGGACGTGGAATGTCCAGGCTTGCTGTAGGTCTGGATTGAAGTGAACCGGCAGAGCTGTGGAGGGAAGATAAATTTGAGAGAATTCAGCAGACTTTAACTTGAACTATTACTCTCTGATTTAATTATTATCTTTAAATCTCTTTTAAATACACCTTAGGTGCCAAAAACAGAGAGAAAAAAGAGAAGAAAAAAAGAAGCAGATGTGGTAAGTTGAAATCTCTGTGCTTTAGTGTTAAAGAATTAAAGTCTGCGTGGTCAGAAAGGAATCATGCTGATAGCAATCTCTGTGCCTACATTTGAGCATTGTAACTTACTAAGAACAAATCTCACTGGAAGAGAGATTTAACAATGTGCTAGGAAAACTAATGAGATGAACTAGTTTTGCTTTTATCTGTCTCTCTCTTTTTTGGCTTTGCTTTTATTGCTAATTCCAATTTCATTGGCTGGTAGAAGGAACAATATAATTAATAATTAATGCTGCGATTTAGTCATGGAAGTCATGGAATCCATAACTTCCAAAGACCTCCGTGACTTCAGCCAGCACCGGCTGGGAGCTGCAGGGTCCCCTGCTGCCTGCGGAGCCTGGAAGCTGCAGGGTACCCCCGCAGCTCCAGGATGTCAGGTGGACCCCCCCCGCAGCTCCCCACCACCAGAGGCGGCAGGGGGGACCCCCACAGTTCGCAGCTGCCAGCAGAGGGGGACCCTGGAGCTCCGAGCCCCCAGAGGTGGTGGGGGCCACTGGAGCTCCCAGCCTGCACGCAGCTGACCAGCTCCCCATTTTGTCAAGGATATTTTTAGTAAAAGTCAGGGACAGGTCATGGGCTTCTATGAATTTTTCATCATTGCCCATGACCTGTCCATGATTTTTACTAAAAATATGCGTGACAAAATCGTAGCCTTATAACAAATAATGGAATGTATCAGTTTGTAATATGCAGCAGAGGCTAGTATTTGCCTAGATGTCCATAGTGTAAAATTCAGAAAGTTGCATTCCGTTCTTGTAACATCAGGTCAAAGGAATATGATGTTTTTTTGCATTTAGAAATGGAGTCATCTGCTTTAAAGATGCTCTGCCATCTGCTGGAGAAGGAACAGAACTGCAGTTTAGTAACTAAAAGACCCCAATTTACAGAAGTGGGTAAATATATGAGATATCTGTATCCCAGCTGCAGATGTTCAGATTGGCAGTCAGTTGTTTAGGAACTTGAGTGCTGATTTCAGAGTCCAAATACAGTTTTCTGATGTCCATTCAGGTTGCTAATGTTTGAAGATTGGACTCATCAAAGTAAAAAGAGCAAGGAACAAGGAGATATTTCCATATTGGTACTCTGGTAACACACTTAAATCATTAGAGTTTCATTCTCACAACTTGACATGTCACCAGAACTCAAGGGAAATATTTCCTTGTGCATTCTATCTCTGCAGCTCGATATACACCAATTTGTGTATCAGTTTGATTTTATGCAGGCACAGACCTAGGCTGCTAGTTGTGAAAGATCTACAAGTAAATTGCTTCAGAAAAGAAAATGCAAATAATACACTGACAGACAAAAACACACATCTCTTTTGGGAGATTCTGTGGTGAAGAAGGTCTGTCCTGTGTTCATTCCTAACAAAGAAGCTGTGGCTGTCCAAAGGCTCCAAGTACTGACAGTTAATTCACCCATTCTGCAGCAGGCTGTGCATCTAGCTCCCTGTCACTTGAGCCACTGAATTTTCAATCTTATGTTTTGTCCTAGGTGGAAGAGCATAATGGTCACATCTTTAAGGCAACCCAGTACAGCATCCCCACATACTGCGAGTACTGCTCCTCCTTGATCTGGATAATGGACAGGGCTTCTGTTTGTAAATGTAAGCATGGACCGTTCAGCTCATCTTGTGTTCGTTTCCTGGTGATACCTATTGTGCTCCTAAGAATCCCCCGTATATTTCCCTCTTCCTTCCCATGACATCCTGAAGCCATGAAAATAGAGGACCCATCTAGGGTGCTCCCAAAATCAGCCAGTAAGGTCACTGTACAGCACACAGTGCAGAAGGGAGACACCAGCTGTGGGAATTGTGGGGCGGCATCTCACACAAAACTGCAAATCCACTGCTGGCTCTTGAAGCTAGTCATGTAGCGGTTAATTCAGTCTTTATAAAGACAATGAAAGGAGTAAGAAAAATATTATCAGGGAAAAATACTGCGCTACAATTACATAGTCTCGGCACGTGGGATACGTGGTCCTTTTCAGTCTGTAGAATTTCTGATGCCCTGATGTGCCTGACACCAATTAATCCAGTTTAGAGTATTGAAATTGGAGTCAATTGGACCTTTGTGGGCATGAGAAAAAGTTTAGAGAACTGGGGGTTTTGTTCATTATTTTAATTTTTCTGATGGCTCTGAAAATCGAGAGTGGCTTTTTGATGGGAGAGGAAGGGCTGAATTACCGTTTTTGTGGTATTTTAGTACAAAATTGGATACAGGGAGAACTGAAATCAGATGATATTTCCAACCCAGTCAAGCAGATCAAAATCTAATAGTTCAGAGTAGCTTCAGAGAACCATCTAAACTTGTGGAATATCTTCTGAACCAATCCTCCAAACCTGGGAATTGTGCCAAAAAATTTTAACTGTTGTACCTTTTAAAAATAAAGGCTTTGATTTTCATTTATTAGGGCTGTGAATGCAGATAAGGTATTTCTGGGCCCAAGTGGTATATTGAGTGCAGAAGTGGCCATTTGTGAATGCGTATTATGTGTATTGCTGGCATCTAGCTGTAAAAATCAGGTCCAAAATATCAAGCAGAAGGCTGTAAAATGTGCACAACACCAAATCTTTGCACAAACGTTAGCTCATTAACTTATATTGTGGCTTTACTAACTGTGACATTTTGAGTCCACCCAGTCCAGTAAGGATTCGATCACTGCTTGTCCTGTATCTTTGGGAGCCTTTGTGCTGTGCAGCAATGGCTCAATTCCCTGACACAAGTAGCCTGCCCACAAACATAAGGTCTCACCTTGGCTCTCACCAGCCTAATTCCACTTTGCAGGGTGACACCAACAAACAGACCTTCAGTCCAAAATATATCCTTCCCAAATTCTTAATTACCAGATACTTGGACTAGTCCCCTCTGGTTCATCACTCCCAAAGGTGTGAAATCAGCCCCCCAGTTAACAGCTCTGTTTGGCGTGCACACTCCACGCAGTTTGCACATCAGAGACTTGCTTGGAATAAAAATAAACAAAAAGTATATGAAATAGAAAACCCCCAGATTCAAAGATGAAATAGTAATGGGAAAGCAAACATATACAAGTTACATGGAAAATAAATGGAAAGACGCAACCTTGGGCTGCACATTTTCATATCAGATAAAATCCCTTTTCAAGCCTATTGCTTTAAAACAGTTTCCCAGCTTATAGGAAGGATCCAGTGTTTGTGGACAACCTCCTGCCTTGAGACAACTATCCCCCAAGTTCTGGATGATCTTCAATTTAAACCCCTTGCATTTGAAAAGGACTTAGTCTGTTTTTTTTAGTCACTATAGATATTCAAATTAGGGAAAACTCCCTCCTTTCTGTAGAATGGGGTTTTCCTTTCAGTTTCAAGTTGTTCCCATTTGCTTTGATGGTTCCCCATTGTTTTTTCCTGGGCTGGACAATGTCTAGGTCAGGGGGTGGGCAAACCTTTTGGCCGGAAGGCCACATCTGGGTGGGGAAATTGCATGCAGGGCCATGAATGTAGGGCTGGGGCAGGGGGTTGGGGTGCGGGAGAGAGTGCGGGTGTAGGAGGGGGTACGGTGTGCAGGAAGGGGCTCAGGGCAGGGGGTTGGGATGCGAGGTGCAGGAGGGATGCGAGGTGCAGGAGGGGGCTCAGGGCAGGGGGTTGGGATGCAGGAGGGATGCGGGGTGCGGCAGGGATTTGAGGTGCAGGAGGGGTGCGGCAGGGGGTTGGGGTGCAGGCTCCGGCCTGATGCCCCTTACCTGGAGCAGCTCCAGGGTGGCAGCGGCACGCACCGGGGCCAAGGCAGGCTGCCCTCGCCTGTTGGTACCTACCCCAAAGCTACCATTGACCGCGGTTCCCCGTTCCCGGCCAATGGGAGCTGTGGGGGGCGGTGCCTGCAGGCAAGGGCAGCGCATGGAGCCCTCTGCCCCACTCCCTCAGGGGCCGCAGGGACGTGGTGCTGGCCGCTTCTGGTAGGGTTACCATACGTCCGGATTTTCCCGGACATGTCCGGCTTTTTGGGCCTCAAATCCCCGTCCGGGAGGAAATCCCAAAAAGCCGGACATGTCCGGGAAAAGAGGGAGGGCCCAGCGGTGCTCAGCCGGGGGCCGGGGCTGCTCGGACCGGGGCCGGCGGTGCGGGGCCGGGGGTGCTCGGCCGGAGGCCGGCGCCGCCGAGCCGAGCCGGGCGGGAGACGCCGGGGCCAGAGCCTCTTGGCCTGGGCCGGCCGGCCGCCAGAGGGAGCCACTCGGCCGGACTGGGCCGCCCCGCCCCAGCTTACCTGCTGCCTCCCTGTTTCAGGCTTCCCGCGAACATTTGATTCGTGGGAAGCAGGGGAGGGGGAGGAGCAGGGGGCGGAGCGTTCAGGGGAGGGGGCAGAGTTGGGGCGGGGACTTTGGGGGAGGGGCGGAGTTGGGGCAGGGACGGGTCCCCATGGAGTGTCCTCCTTTTTTAAAATTAAAATATGGTAACCCTAGCTTCTGGGAGCAGCGCAGGGCCCGCAGCGCCACGGGGGTGGCAATCCCACAGGCCGGATGCAGCCCATGGGGCGTATTTTGCCCACCCCTGGTCTAGGTGCTTGTAGCCAGTCTCATGGGTCTGGGGAAGTAGCTCCTCTCTGCCTGATTGCTTCACTGCCCTGTTGTGAGGTGATGCTGAAGTATAGTTAAAATTTTGTATATACACCCCTTCTTCATAACCATAACCTGTACACATAGCTCAGAATGACTATTCAGTGCATTACAAGCTTTCATAAAAGATCTTACGTGATGCACTCTTACAGTAGAATAACAGAATGCGATCACTTGGTTTAACTGATTCTTTTTGCTGGGTTAAACCTTCTTTTGTCCCGTTGGGGTGTCTGGAGTCTGATTATCACACGAACATGCCAGGAGATACTGTAAAGTGCTAAGTATAATTTTTTCTCATTGTTACAGTATGTAAGTATGCTTGTCACAAGAAGTGCTGTCTTAAAACCACAACCAAGTGCTCCAAAAAGGTAAGACTTGGTCAATCCATTCATTCATTTAAATACCTTTTCTCTTCTGTGAGCATAGCTTTAATTAGTGATTTTAAGGAGGTGTTTACAGGTACAATAGTGGAATTATACTAGCTGGAAACTGGGTTGCATTCCTGTGCATGTATGCCAACTGCAGAGGTGAGCTCACTCGTCAAGGAGGGTGCAGAGCTGAATGCTTTTTTGTACCACCTGCCACTCCACTCATCTGCTCCAAGGCCTTAAATATTCTCGCCAGCAGGAGGAGCCTGCCTCATTTTACAGCATATATGGGATTTCAGAGTAGAGAAATGAGTAGATGTAATTTACAGCACATGTCACGGTGTATATAGTATCAGGTACCTAGTCGAGGCCAAGAGTATCTAGTATCACTTGTATTTCCTGACCTGTGGCGGTGGTTTTTCTTTTCCATTTTACATCTTGTTACATTTTTATAGCAATTAACTTGTGTTATCCTAGATACTCCAGCAGCCAGTGAAGTCCCCATAGTACCCACTTAATAAAACCTTGCATGTTCTCTTAGCTGTTATTTACCAGGCAGTCAGGATGTATAGACAACAGGGAATAAATTCAGCAGGTTATTAGAGATGCCAATGAACCATTAAACTATTATCTTTTCATTTTCTCCTGTGTTTATTGCACTCAGTAAGTAGCTGGTATGGCTCTTGGTAATGTATAAGGAGTATAGCATGTGCAAAGCTTTATCAGCTTCCAAGGTGTAAGTCCCAGAGGGCAACATAGTTCAACTTTTCCCTGTGTGTAACTAGAGATCCTCTTTGTTAAAGCTTGGAAGAACATTTGAATGTATTTACTTTAACATCATTTTTCAGCCATCACCCACTCCCTACCCTGACAGTGCATGTACTGAGTCTCTGCAGTGTATCTGAGGGAGCTGGATCCATGATGATAGACAAATAGCAGCCTGTGATACTCTGACAGGGATAAATGCATCTCTCTGGTGTTTCCAAGAGAATGGAGTTGCTTTACATGGTTAAGCATTTTGTATCCTTACGATCTCAGACCTGAACCTGTGTGTTTTATGCTAATATGAAGGAGAATTGATATCTTTGCTACATGCCACCTCCCTCCCCTTCTGCCCAGGAAAACAAAAAGTTGATTCTAATGCTGTTGGTTCACCAAACCAGGCCTACTGCTTTGGCCACAATTCAGTGGCACACAGCCAGAAATGCAGCGAACAGGAAATGAAAGAATTCAGTCCAAGAAAACTCTGCTAAAATAAAATATCAGAAATGGTTAGATCATTTGCATTTGTTTATGCTGGATGGATTCAGGCTGCTAAGGGTTAAATTTTCACAGTGCATCAGCTGAGAGGGTTGGTGCCATTTGGTATATTTTGAGAAGGTGCCCTTTATCCAAAAGGTAACAGCAGATTTCCTAGTTGTTTTTTAACTTTATGCAGAACCTGGTGACTTTTCATTTAAGCTTATGATGGAACTAATAGAGCATCAAGCTTATCTTAGCAGTGTATTTGCTTTGATGGACCTTGTAGTTTGCACTAATGCATTTTATGCCAATGTTGGCAGTTGAACACAGTGACAGCAAAAGTTAGAGTTTTTGTTATAGCACTTGATGTTAGCGATAGGAACAGCCCAATCCTGGCACTAAAAGATTAAGAGATGATAGTACAATAGCTTGTGAATTTTACACGAGATCAAAACCAGTTGCTGTCACCATTTCTTCCTGGTGTGTTCTTGCATGGAGGTCTATCCAGTGTGGAAACCTCCCCCGGACATTCCCCTCTTGTTGTTTTCATTTGTGCCGTGGTAACAGTGAATGAGAAGAAGCAGACATGGAAGAGTGGCACTGGTCAGAGGTCTAACCAAGCCACACACCTACTTTCTCATTCATTGTTCTGGTTGGATCACTACCCATGCTGTGTTTGAACATACAGTCCATATGTTCAAAGCCTCCTAAGTGGATCTGTGCATTATTGTGTGAAAAGTTTTTCTCAGTCTTTTGACTTTATCCAACCAGAATCTCTCATTCAGGTTGAATGTGATCTAATTGTTTGCTGAATGTTGAGTCTCTAAAGTGCAGTTCTAGTCAGGAAAGTGACTCTGTAAAAATAGAGAATGTCAGCATCTTTTACTGATTCTCTTTCTCTCTCAATGGCTTCTAGGTCACACTTGCTCAAAACTATTTTTTTTAACTGTCAGCACTGTAAGTTCATCTAGGGATCTCAGAATCAAGCCCAAGTGTGTTCTCCTTCATGTATCATCACCAGGCAATTTTGTCAGTGAGGCATGAAGCAGACTAGAATGTAGCTCACTGTTGCACAGCTGTGTTGGTTCTACAGTAAAAATGTCAGTACATGAAGCAAATAATGACTCGGAAGACACAAGGAGAGTACCAATGGGCCAGAGCCATTTTTCTGAGCACAGCCCCGTTGCAAGCCTTAACTATGAACATTTGCTGGTCTTTGTAGCAGTGTGCAGTGCTACAGACACAGCAGAGTGAACACAGGGATAGCTACAGTGACCAAGAAAGCCCATGGGAAAGATTGGATTTGCGGGGCAGTGTACAGGCCTTTCCTCTCTTCCCTTGTGCTCAGTTAGATTTACTAGATTAATTTGCAAATAATCCAGTTAACTTTGTTTAAAAATGTGAACTGCATCTTGAACGGCAGTCAAATTGTATTGCATACATTGAGAGGTTCAGTCCCAAGACATCCCTAAGTTTACTGCGCTGTGAGCAGCATTGCATTGAGACCTTTGAAAAGGAATTAAGAAATCAATCTCTTTCTCCACATCAGTATGATCCCGAGCTTTCGTCACGGCAGTTTGGGGTTGAGCTCTCTCGACTGACCAATGAGGAGCGAGCGGTGCCACTGGTGGTGGAGAAGCTCATAAACTACATTGAAATGCATGGGTTGTACACAGAGGGCATTTACAGGAAGTCAGGCTCAACCAATAAGATAAAGGAGCTCCGACAGGGTCTTGACACAGGTAAGATGAAAAAGAGAGTGTCTCAGAGGGGGAGCGAAAGGGACAGCCAAGAACCTATGTGAAAAGAGAATTCATGTCATCTAAAGGGGGCCAAAGCAAAGAAACCCTTTTCCCTTCCCCCACCATAGACTCTGGCTTTTGGTACCATGAAAATACAGACATTTCTCTAATACCCGCCTTCACCAAAAGTCTGCACTGTGTTAGAGCCCTCCCGTCTTGTGGAACTGTTTAATTCTTTCTTGTTTTATTCCTCCTCTTGTGCACAAGTGTGCAAAAAAAATCATAAAAAGAAATTGGGAGAAAAAGCTATGTTAGCCAGGCTTTGTATTTATCAGCATCACCTAGACTTCCAAAGTGCTTTACAAATTCTGTCTAAAGACTTTCACCCCTGGAAAACTGGCTCCTTTCACTACAAGCGTTTTAACATGGTCATATTAAAAACCAGGTGCCAAGGTTGTGCTGTTGTGCACGGTGTGATCTGTGGTTGTTACAGTATTAATACCTGTTTTTCATATGACAATAGTTAGTACTATGCAGTGTTGTTGTAGCTCTGCCCACTGTAGTAGGAAGAGAGCCTGAGACATAAGCCCGTGTATCAGAGGCCTGATATGAGGCCTGAAGGCTGGGCTAAAGTAGCGGTCAAAACTTTGCTGATATAAAACAAAATCAGGCTGTGAGCTAGAGGCAGGCCCTGCTCACAGAATCTGGCAAGAACAGGGCTGATATTGCATAAACACACATTCCTGAGTGCTAAGCACAAAACACACACACAAACATGTTCCAGAAGGTACCAGAACACCCCATACCAAGAATGGTACAAACACATTCCCCAAAGATAACAGGAACACACTGACCCCGCCTAAAGATACGGTCAGGATGACAATGTGATGGATAGAAATGTACAAGGTGGTGGGTGGTGACATCAGAGGATGTCAACTATCAGAGGAGCAATACGTAACTTGTTTGTATCTGTGTATAAAAATGTATCTCAGGGGCAGTGTCTTTATCTAGCCTAGGGAGGAACGGAAAGTCCCGCCGTTCACTGAGCTGGTCCATTGTTATGAGTATACATGTATTAGTGCAGGATACTAGTACTGTGCTTCATCGACAATAACCCTGGCTGGGTACCTTCGTACCTTAACGGATCTTGTGGTCATTGGGCAGTTTGCTCGAAGTCTGCCATGCCAGTTTTCTTTGCCCGGCTGGGGTGGCACACAGAGGGAACACACACACGCAGCTGAACATCTGACCACTCCCATGATAGTAGAGAGACGGTGAGTGAGGTAATAGCTTTTATTGGACTGACATCTGTTGGCAAGAGACAAGCTTTTGAGCTACACAGAGCTCTTCCTCAGGACCTCTCTCACCCACAGAAGTTGGTCCAAGAACAGTGGTTAGGTAATAGCCAGTGCTAGTACTGACATGAAAACATTGTCTTGTTTACTGGATCAAAACTGATCATTTGCTTTTTCTTTGGTTTCTTTTCCACTCCCCCCACTCACTTGCCTCGGTGAACAGATATTGACAACGTGAATCTAGATGACTACAACATTCATGTCATTGCCAGTGTGTTCAAACAGTGGCTGAGAGATTTGCCCAATCCCCTCATGACCTTCGAACTCTACGAGGAATTTCTGCGAGCTATGGGTAAGGAAGGTCCATACAAATCCTATACAATCACACACAAAACCCAAGACGGGGAAGGTACAGTTAGCTGCAGGTACCAAACCCAGAACAAGCAGTCTTTTTTTACTTTAGTTTTATCATCACCATTGTCATGACAAGCAGCAAGCAAGTAGATTGTGTGCTTGTACGATTGTACAAGGGCCAATTGTATGGAGTGTTTGAGTCCAAAAAGTCATTTTGATGATCTGACATCTTTTATGACGTTACTGGCAACACAGTGCTGGAGCCTCTCCCACCTGCCTCCCTCTTAGAGCCTTTTCCAACTGCCGGGGTCTTTCCCTGCAGCAGGGAAAGACTCCATTGGGGGTGATGACACTGCTAAAAATAGCAGTGTAGCCGGGAGGAACGACTTTGGCATTTAGAGAGTCGTGTAGGTGGTGCTTAATTTGTGCCAAGACTTGCCAGGGCTGAGCGGCACATCTGCTCCAGCAGCTCTCTGCTGTTGAAGCCTTTCCTTGCAGCCTCCCCCTGCCAGAGCCTTTCACTGACGTGTAGGTACGCACTGCAGCGTGGACACAGCCTGCTTTTCACTATGCCATGTAGCCACAGACAGCACTGTGACACAAACTCATCCCTTACACTGTTATAGTAGTCAAAGCCTTTGCCATTCATAGCCCTGGTACCTCTGGGCTTGCCGTGTGAAAGTTTAAAAAAAAATAAAAAAATGCTTGAGCCCCGGCACCTCTTCCGTTAAAAATTAAGCAGTGGGTGTAGGGTATATCCCCACAGCCTTCATGCATGTCTTTACTCACCTAAGCAGTGCCTCGCCATCTACATTGCTATTTCTACCCGTGCTAGGGTGGTGTGTAGCATATGATTTTGATGGTGAGCAGAGTGTGCAGCATAGACGTGCCCCAGGAGATATCATTATTATTCACCTTCCAGCTCTTTTGGAATCTGTTTAAAAGAAATCAGTGTCTTATGCTCATGTTTTTTGCATAGGATACTGCTACCCGAGGGACCTGCAAAGGGGGCCTGCTTGTATAGGCAGGGAGAGGAGGGAGTTGTCATCCCTGTCTCTGTGCACTGGCCTCCTGCACAGCTCCCCTGTACTGGGCCATTCACACTACCTTCACAAGTAAATATGGCAGAAGACACTATGGGGAAGTTGCCTGTAATATGTGTAACTGTTTGTGCTCTCTCCAGGCCTGCAGGAGAGGAAGGAGACCATCCGAGGCGTGTACTCTGTCATTGATCAGCTCTCTCGCACCCACCTCAGTACCTTGGAACGCCTCATCTTTCACCTTGTGAGGTAACGGCAGACCACAGTATGGGATCGTCATACTGCAGCCACTCTTTCTCTTCTCCTTCCTCACTAGGGGCCTGATTCTGATACACTTACTCCCCATGAGTACCACCTTACTCCATGAGTAGTTCCACTGGAACAAGGTACTGTTCTACGTGAGTAAGAGTACTTGAACATGGGCCTATGTGATCCAAGTACTTTTGTAGGAAAAAAGGGGAGTGAAACTTCACAAGGGAGTGCTTTAAATTCTGAAATGGCTTTAACGCTCTGGACCCAAGAGCTCTTTCTCCAGACAATGCTCTCATTGATAGCTAATGGCAATAATATTCTTCTTTTTATATATAAGTTCCCTTTCATAATAGCAACAAATGTTGTAGACTTGCTGAGAAGGCAATCACTGTAGGTCTCAGCTGGTTACAAACACATGGTTCCATACCATAGACCTAACCCACTGAGACGTGCAGTAAGATTGCAGTGGATCACAGTACTGCCATATGTTGCACCCTTTAGTTTGAACATTGAGGGTCTAGGAATCATGTGTGATGCTTTTGCATGAGCTTAGACAATATCTAGTTCAGGCTATAGTCACTGTGTTACAATCTGCGAAGTTTCCAGCCGTCTACATGCATTTAGACACATCTGTGCTCTGTTTCTAAGGCATAGCTTAATGATGGCTAAGTGAGTTGCTTGCAACTGTAATAAACTTGCACTGTATCTAGTCCTTTTTGGAAAATAGGTTAAGTAAGTCAAAACAAAAGATTTCCTAGAGAACATCATGGCATGTTGCATGGTTCACTCAGTGTCCATTGTCTTACCTTTTTGCCCTTGTCTGGTATAATATTTACATCCTTGTAGAGCTACCTGTTGGTCTAGTTCCTTACCAGATGCAACAAATTGAAGCTCTTCACTTCAAAGCTATATAATATTGTGGAAAATCTTCCCCTAGCAATGACCTCCAGATCTCATGTGCATATACAGCACTCCTCTCCCTGCCCTGCTCTGAATTTGTATTTTGTTCTCTTTCTGTTTCTCTACAGGGGTATTTCCTGCCAGTGTTAGGTGAATTGGAGCAACCTTTAATCCTTGCTGTTTTGTTGTTTATCGTTTAGGATTGCTCTGCAGGAAGAGACCAATCGAATGTCAGCTAATGCCCTGGCCATTGTATTTGCTCCCTGTATTCTGCGCTGTCCTGACACAACTGATCCACTGCAGAGTGTTCAGGACATCAGTAAAACAACCACGTAAGAATACAGTATTACAACTTCTAGAGTAAATCCTGTAATGAGGTAATGTCAGGACAGTCAAATGATCCCTGAGTAATGCACTTTAATGTGCTCTAGAATGACAGCTACAAACACATCACTGGTTTGCAAATAAATTGCCTTAATGAAATACTGTCTATTCCATCAGTAACTAGCAGCTACTAAAGTTAAACCTTTTAAAAACTGCAGGACTGGATAACCTGCACCCAGGAGTTTTTAAAGAACGGGACAGTGAGCTCTCTCAGCCATTGATGTTGATATTTAACAAATCCTGGAGCAATGGGGAAGTTCCAGAGGACTGTACAAAAAGCTAATGTGCCAGTATCTAAAAAGGATTAACGGGATGATCTGGGTAACTATAGGCCAGTTAGCTCAATATCAGTCCCAGGCAAAATCACGGGAAAGCTGATGTGGAATGTAATCAGTAAAGAACTGAAGGATGGCAGTGTAATTAGTGCCCGTCAACACAGTTTTTTATGGAAAATAGGTCTTGTCAAACATACTTGATATTGGTTATTGATTGGATGCCAGGCTTGGTTGCCAGAGGTAACCACGTTGACATCGTAGACTTAGATTCCAGTCAGGCATTTGATTTAGTACCACAGGTCATCCTGATTAAAAAATTAACACCATACAAATTCAGTGCAGCAAATATTAAATGGATTGAAAATTGGCTAACTGATATCTCCAAAGTAATTGTAAATAGGGAATCATCATCCAATGGGTGGGAAGGGTTTGTAATGGAGCCCCACGGGGATGTTTTTGACTTCAACTGGAGTTTTAAGAATAAACCTGTTAAATTGTGAGATGCTCAAATAATAGGGCACTTTGAATCACTCTTCTAAAGGTTCCTTGTAAGAAGATGTTTCTTTGTAACTTGACTCATATACACCGCCTTGTATCATTACTGCTCTAAAAGGATTTCTTCCAGAAAACAATACTGATGGTATTAAACAAAATATCTGCCCGAGACACCTAATCATTGTCATTGCCATGCGACTGCCTGACCAGCTTGGATGCAAACAAGCACAAGTGTGTGTGTCTACAAATAGATATTGATAGATAGCGCAGCATATCAGAAATGGCCATTCTTTCAGCCTTTCATTTGAACATGCTGTGCTTTCCTAACCTTGGTGGGTATTTTCCTTTCCAGGGGAAGGACCTGTTTCCCTGATGGAGCCCTTGGGGAGCCCTCCCTTTATTCCTCTAGTTTAGCTCTCCTGCCTACCACCATTTGGGGCATTTCAACCACACCATTCGTTTCCAGCCCACGAAGCAAGAGAATTGGAGCACACGTCCCTTCCCCTCTCTGGCATTGTAGGGCTCTAGTACTTAGGCGACATGGCCAGCTCAAACACAGCCAGAGTTTTATGCTCCCATTTTACCACTTTCTTTTTTCCTTTTTGCAGCTGTGTGGAGTTGATTGTCGTAGAGCAGATGAATAAATACAGGGCTCGTCTCAAGGACATCAACAGCCTGGAGTTTGCTGAGAACAAAGCAAAAAGCAGGCTGTCTTTGATCCGCAGATCAATGGTAAGATTCGGGAGGGGGGTTGAGCTGGTAGTATGTTCTGTTTCTGTGTCAGGAAAAAATGGAGCAGACCTTTCCTTTGTTTTAGGAGGACTGGTCTCTCCAGCCATGTTATTGATCATAACTTCCTTTTTTACATAAAATGCAGAGAAGAATCTCGTGTCCGTGCAGCTATTGTGTATTTGCATAGTTTATTCAGTGTGTCGGTTGTAACTGAGAAGAATGTGCATGGTACTAAATTGAAAGTCAGAGAATAATTTGGTATGGATAAGCCAGCCCCTTTCTTTCCTCTCCTTTTCACTCAGACTAATCTCCCCTGATCTTCTCCTGCCTATTTCAATCTCCCTAGCCTCTTACACCTCCCAAAGCCTCATATCCAGGGCCAACAGAGAGACTGAACCTCAGCCCTGCACTTGGCTCCCTGCATTTCCCGAGCCACACATTTATACCAAAGGAGATGGGAATGGTGCCTGTCAAGAGTTCTAAAGTGCCACGGAAATGTGGTCTCTGGATTTCACATATCAGAGGGGTAGCCGTGTTAGTCTGAATCTGTAAAAAGCAACAGAGGGTCCTGTGGCACCTTTGAGACTAACAGAAGTATTGGGAGCATAAGCTTTCGTGGGTAAGAACCTCACTTCTTCAGATGCAAGTAATGGAAATCT